AAATGTAAAATACTATATTAAGGTTGCTTCTGTTTGCAATTGAGAACTTGAACAAAACTGTTCCTATGGGTTAAATTTCTCTAAAGGCAAAAAGATGAAAATCAAAATCTGCTCCGCTATAATTGACGCATACTTTAGGTCCAATGATAAACCTTATTTTGTGGGTTGTCTTGCAGCTCCATTTATATATCCATTAGATGTTAGATACAAAATCCATCTTCTATTCCCAAACAGGATAGAGCTACAAGTTTCATATATTTTGGTACCTGACTATCCCAGTGAATAGAAATCCAAATTTTTGGCAGACAAGAAATTAGCAGTGTCCAAGATAATTCAGAAGCAAATAGTTCCTATAGACAAAATAAATATGGTTGGACATAGCTACTGCTGTCAGACATGTGCAATTACTAGGGCTTTTTCTAAATTTCCAGTTGCACTGACTGCAGCAGAATATTGCACATACCCAGGTTTGACGTCATGGGGGTATGTTTTGAGTCCCTCTCACCCAGCCTTGCATACTGGTAGATGCCTTGAACCAGATCCTAGTCCACATATTGTAAATTGGATCCTTCCTAGTATCTCCTGAAACTTGCAAAAACATGGCCATAACAAAGCTACCTGGGGCATAATGGCTTTAGGAATATATTATAAAAATATTCTTTCTAAATCAATCTTTCACCAAATAAAGGTTAGCCATGTAACCAAATATTTGTGTTCTACTTTTCAAAAGTAATATATATCAACATTAGACATGAATATGTATTAATAAACATAACTGAGGTCTATTAAGGTGATCATTGAGACTCTTAGACTCTCCAATTCATTGTGGTAAAAGGATGTGTTTTGGATCAATGACTTTTAAACTTGCTCCCAAAGCACAGAAATTATATGTTGATGAAAAACACATTTGGGTTGCACCATATTATACTGTATTAATCTCAGGCTTTAGAGCTTTTTTCCCCAAATGAATGCATTACTTGGCTTCTGTTTGGTTATTTTTTTCCCCTTTTCTCTGAAACACTGGGCATCAGCCAGCTACAACTAGACTGGCTCGGGTGCATTGGTGCTGCTAAAGATATTTCAGGAACCTCACTGGTGAGCCTTGCTTACACACTCAAAATTAAACATCGGATTTGGGAAAGAAGGAATTTTCCTTATGGTTAGATTGGCAAGAATGAGGGAGCAGAGGGACAGGGTTTGTAGAACCCTATAGAATGGGAGATGATTTACCTCCTAGGATCATCTGAGCATATTATATTTATGTCTTTCCTCTTGTCTTCAAATAGCATATGTTTTTGTTATGAGGGTATTTTGTGGCCAGGTATGCCTGAGGGTGGCTTGACTAGATTTTCTTGAGGACACATTTGGACAAATGTTTATCTCATGGATGCCTGCAATTGCAAGGGACTTGTCAATGACCTAGGAAGTACGTACGGGTTTTTTTCTTAATAATACATCTGTCAGAAATTAATTTCCTGGACAAAGACAGTTGTGCTGATGCAGAAAATCCCTTGGCAGTAGTCCTGAATTATTTATTTTACTGACGCTGCTGTCAAATTACAGTAATAAATAAGTACAATACTGAACCCCAGGATTCTTTTGTGAAACTGTTAATATGAAACACTCTTGCATAAGTATAAAGGAGCAGAAAGGCTTGTTCTAGATCTGCCATCACCAGGCCAATATGTGGAGGAAAAAAGCAGAGGTTACAAAATTTCTTACAGAATCTAAGTTTTAATCTAAATATCATACATAACCACCTTGACATTGTACAGCCAGACCTGCCCTCAGAGTTACAAAGCTGCCCTTGTGGATGAAAGCAGCTGCAGTGAACAGGTTCACTGAACTTAAATCATGAACAGGCCCTTCCCCAATGCTACTTGCACTGAGATACAAATTATGTCATTCTTTAAAAATACTAAAAATGTGAAATTATTAATTTTACATGGCAATCCTATGGACCAGGTAAGGGATGCTGGCAGTGGTAGTGCTGAATGGAGCAAACATAGTGCTATAATAAGAAGAAAAGCAGCAGGTAAGGGAATACCTCTAGAAGACCCCTCACCTCAGCAAGCTACAAAGCATACTTCCAGGGCAGCCCCTACAACAGGCCTGTAAAGTGGAGAGATTTGGGAATGCAGATACAGCAGGCCACCAAGATGGAGAGGGCACAATCAATGGCACTGCAAAAGCATAGTTCTATAAACCAAACCTCTTCAACAAAGGGAAGAGATCCATTTGTACAAGCAGCAGCTCGAAAGCTGTGGGAGACTTCTTTCCCTCAGTCCCTGCAAAATTCCACTCCGTATTTCTGTTGTTACTTGCGTTATGCAGAAGACAGGACCTTGGTCTGAATATAAATACATGGTGTCTCAGACCATCTCAAGCTCTAATCTGATATCATACATTTATGTACATGATGCCTTCCTTGGGCTGCCTGACACATCTGTCCTTTCCTCCACTCTCTCTCTAAACATCCAAACATTCAGCTTTCTCTAATAGACCTTTGCTTATGTTGGATTATTTGACAGAAAGTTAGTCGCAATTAGGTCAAAGTATTTTACAGGGTTGAAAACACAAATTGCATAGAGGTTAGCATCAATTTACAGGAAAGTGGACAGGGCTGGAGACCTACAGTTTATATTTTAATTCTAGCTTAACATATCATTAGAGACCACAGAATCCCTTAGAGGCAGATTCTCAGCTGCAGTACCTTCTGATGGCTCCATTGACTTCGAGAGAGTTGCAACAATGTACATCAGCCAAAAGTCTTATGTTTATAAAACTGATGCACTTACTCCTAATAAGCAAATACTGTAATCAAGAAAACTATGTCAAAGTATGGTCACCCTTGGACAGTGAAGGGAGACTACAAGAAGGGAGACTTTGCAGTGTCTAAAAAATGGGAAAATTCATATATTTCTCTGGTTGTATGCAACATTTCCACCCCAGAGTCTTGTTAATAGATCTCACCTATTAGATCATCAAGCATTCTCTCTCATGTTATATATAGCCTATGCAAAAAATAAGCAGCAAGACCACCATGAAATCTACATTAAAGCACACAGAGACTGCAAAGCATTCAAAAGAGTACTTGTACAACTTTAATTCTTATACTTAAGGAGTTCTGCTTTCTTTCCTCTGTACCTCCTCTCATCTGACCTGTAGAAAGGGCTGAGGGGGCTGTAGTGTTAACAGGCCTCACGGAAGCTCAGGATTTACAGTAAAACGTCATTAGTTCAATATTGGATACCTCGAAGCTGTTGTCACTCCCCAGCTGAAAGGATAGGTTTTTGTACGCACTATAATATGGATAATTTGAAATTTGAAGATGTTTTCTGATTCCTTGGACCAGAAAAACCTTGTTAACTTCAAATGCAGGGAACCAAAAAATACCAACTTTGAAATACTGTACATGGGTCTGAAATAAACACATTCATAGTAATTTGCATATATCCAAATTACTATGGGTATGTGCAGGCTTAGGTCACCCATGGGCAGACTTTACTAACTGATAGAACAAAGTGAAGAGTTATCCCAGTGACTAATAAAGTAGATGTCATGGGATGTAGCACAGGGAGTTCCTACTGTAGACCAGCAGCAATGATCTAGGGGCACTTTTTCGTCTGCTTAGATCAATCTAAGCATGGAACCGTCCCATCAGCCTCCCCTACCTTGCTCCCACCAAACCCCCCTGCCAACCCAGCACCCCTGATCCTACAAAAAAAACCCTAAGTCCACCCCAAATCATGCATGTATCTAGGGCTGGTGCCCCCATCTCCCACCCCTGCAGGGACCACTGTGCCCTAGCACTTGCTGTCCTGAGCCCCAGGCACTCTGTCTGCTCCCACCGCTTCAAGCATTCCCAGGCTGGCAGATGATAGCCAGAGGGCAGGTGTACATGGAGCAGCTGGGGCTCAGAGTAGCAAATGCCAGGACACAGGGGAGTCTGCAGGGGTGGGAGGAGCAGCCCCAGCTGCATGCATGATCAGGGGCAGGACTGAAGGCTGGTGGATCAGGGGGTCTGCAGGGGGTTTGGTGGCATCAGGAGGGGGGTTGGCAGTTCCACACTTAGTTTGATCTAAGCAAAAGAAAACAGGACCCTGGATCATTGCTGCTGGTCTACATTAGAAACTCTTTGTGCTATACCCCATTAAAGCTGCTTTATTAGTCACTGGGATAACTCCTTACTTTGTTCTTATTAGTTAGTAAGGTCTGCACAAGGATGAACTAAGTCTGTATATATCCTCAGTAATTTGCATATATGCAAATTATTATTATTATATTTATTTCAAACCCACTTATTTCCAAGTCAGTATTTTTGGTCCCCTGGATTTCTAATTAACATGGTTTTACTGTATCACCACATTATCTAATACACTGATTTTTAACCAGGGTGCCATGGCACCCTGGGGTGTCTTGGGATCCTGCCAAGGGTGCCAAGCAATGTTTGCACTGTTAGATGTGCAAATATGATTCACAAGTAAATCCATGGATTTAAAATGAGAATCTAGAAAGTTCAAAAAGTTTCTGACCTGTTGTAGCCTGAGTTCTTTGCAATAGAAAAACTGCTCTACAATTTTTCCGTAGTCAAAAAGTGAAAGCTATGAGTTGGAAGTTCCACAGTGCACCTTGAGTCTAAAGATTGAGAACCACTAATCTAATAATATTCTGTGCAAGGGTAGATGGCTTGGTGGTGAAAACATCTGAACACTCTCCATGGTAGTCACTGCTACTGCTGTCAGTAATGAAATTGTACGAAGAGTTATGGCTTTCAACGTTGTCAGTGGGAACAGAGCTCAGAAATGGATGCTGGACTTGAACTGGAAGTGAAATACAAAAAATAAACTTATATAATGGACATACATTCTACATGTGTGTTATAAATGTGTATATAACACCAAGTCCTAGGGTAAAGTCCTTGTGTCAATGGCAAAACTCTCATTGACTTCAGTGAAAAAAGGATTTCCTCCTTAGCTTCTTAGGCATGCAGTCCTTACATAGTAAAGTAAAATATCATCTGCTTGCTCTCTAAAGTCTTTGGCTTTCTCAGAAATGTAGGTCATGTGGCTACCCTATTCACAAATTATTATATTTACCAGCATAGCAGGGTAAATCAAGAGCAGCATGGGCCTGAAAGATTCAGAACGTGTACTGGTTTCATAGGCTGGAAACAGAGGTTGCCTTTGTGCTGTCATAATTTTTTTTGTGGCAGCACAAAGGCAAGGCAAACAGACGTCCACGCCCCTTAATACACCAGAACAAATACCCTAAATTCATAGTCTTGATATAGATGGTATAGTTTCATAGTTGGTAGGGTCAGAAGGGACCTGAGCAGATCATCAAGTCCGACCCCCTGCCGTGGCAGGAAAGAATTCTGGGGTCAAACAACCCTGGCTAGGTGTCTATCTAGCCTCTTCTTGAAGACCCCCAGGGTAGGAGCGAGCACCACTTCCCTTGGAAGTTGGTTCCAGATACTAGCCGCCCTGACTGTGAAGTAGTGCTCCCTAATGTCTAGCCTGAATCTACTCTCAGTCAACTTATGGCCGTTATTCCTTGTAACTCCCTGTAGTGCTCGGGGGAACAGGGACTCTCCCACTGCCTGCTGGTCCCCCTTGGCCAGTTTGTAGATGGCCACCAGATCCTCTCTCAGTTTTCTCTTGTGGAGGCTGAACAGGTTCAGGTCTTGTAGCCTCCGCTCGTAGGGCCTGCCTTGCTGCCCCCTGATCATGCAAGTGGCCCTCCTCTGGACTCTCTCGATACTGTATAAAATTGTTCCAGTCTTCTGTGGTGGATGCCCATTTGCAAGACAGGAGAATGGGCAGCCTGGC